CCTTTACTTGAATGCGATCACCACGTTGAATATTCCAGACAGAGGTGATATCGCCCGTAACTTGCATCGTATTCGAATGCGACTTGAATTTTGCCTGGGATGTATCGAAGATTCCTTCAGAATTGAGCACGTTACTTGGTTGATTGGGACAATCGGAGAATATTTTCTCATTTTCCAGAAGGAATACATATTTAGTAGCAGTCGATTGCCTTACGAATATAAGCAAAAACAACACTTGGTATAAAAACTTTAGTCGGCCCAACATCTTTTCGGTATTCGCGTTTATTACTCGAAGCAATTTCGTTTTGGTTTTGTGCATCACGAGTTGGGGCTTTTATACACTAGAATTTATGAATTATATAACACGTCCCGTACACAAAACTTAATTATACATGCTTGTTAGATCGCACCTAATTATGAGGTTCTAAATAAAGGTGTGCTGATATCAAATTAATTATAACGTACAATTTAATTAGGTAATTACAGTAATGTAATTGACAAATGTTTATAGCACTTTATATTTATCTACATATATAAAACTGTCCTGACTGACTGACTAAACGGTGAGAAGTAGAAAGCTAAAATTTGTACTGAAGCTTTCTTTTGGGTCGAACATTAAAATTGGGGTTAAAGATTGGGATCAAAATCATAAATTACAATTTTATTGTTATTTTTAAATTATTATTAGGTTTATTATTCTTCAAATCGTAGAGCCTTAGTATCCCTTGGGAATACCTAACAAATGTGGCTCATTAAAAATAGCTACAGTTTATTGAGTCATTATAGTTTATAATTTAACAAACTAATATTTTATTTAAATAATAATATCATAAAATAACTATTCTTGCTCTAGAGCCTTAAAGTTAGCTTTGACAAACAATATTTTCGAAACATTTTCGGGACACAGACCCGATTGCATATCACTAAAAAGGTTTTTAGATACACTGAATAAACGCTCGCTGGCAATACTTGCGGCGGGAGTGGATAGATATCGTTTTACAATTGGTAACATAGCGCTATACTTATTATTGGATCGCCACCAAGCTAATGGATCGCTTTGGCGCTCAATTCTGGGTTCGGAGTTGTACAAGTACAACAAGTTTTTTAGTTGCGATTGCGAATGAAACGATGTGGAGGGTTCCGAGCTGGAGTTGGATGGTGTGAGCATGTTGTCAAGAAACGAGTCAATCTTGGATTCGTTTTTAACATTGGAAGCAACTTTAACGATCTTCATTGGTGGCTGCCATTGTTGGAGCTGGGATCGGCACAGTTGTGTCAGGACTTCATCTGTAACCAGCTGCGCCTCCTGTTGTGTAAAAAATGCCTGCTTGTAACGCGGATCCAAATATGTGGCCATTAAATATTTGATATCTGTGGTCACTGTGGAGCATTTTGATTCCAGCTCCTCGAGCAGTTTTCGAGCAAACGAGCAAATGGTCTGTAAGAAATTAAATATATAAATATATTTTGAAATTTATTATATACGATGGTTAGAGGAGAACATTACCACTGAAGACACAAAGTTGTGCACATCTGTGCGAAGCGAATCCCGCAGAGCTGCTATTAGCGGTATGACAGAGGATGCTGTCGAAGAGGTATCACTCCAAATACTGATAATTTCCTCAATGGGTTGTATGACACGATTACCTAAATCAATATCCAGCCATTCGTCAGGATACATTTTTACCATATTATATTCCTCCGCATAAATTGAGAGAGCATCTTTTAGTTTGAGCAAGCGAGCTTTTAAACGAAATATTGCATTCCAGCTCAACGGGGTTTCATTAGGCTCCATTAATGGAAGTGGGTCGCGATTTAAACGCCTCTCGTGAATATATTTCAAATGATTGTATGCAATATGAGATTGTTCAAAGTGTTTGACGATTTGTAGACATTTAGCATCTAATTGCTGCAGGTGCTCATTCGACTCGATTGCATATTTCACACACAGTTTTAGCAGATGAACACTGCACTCGACGACAGCGCCCTGTGTGCAGGTGCCTTCATCTCTAATAATGCAGTTAATCTTCTCTTTGGGCAACTGCAGCTCGTGGATGGCATTAGATATCATATTAGGAATGCGGCACGTAACTTCCTCCGTCTGTCCTTTGTCCAGGGCTTCACATTTCAAGTGTAGTTGCTTGGGCTGAAAGTCACTGAAGATGCCATGACAGCTTAAGCTGAGCAAGCCTTGGCCGCCTGATCCCCACCAGATGCTTGTTGCCAGCGATACGGACTCCAGCATGACCAGTTGTTGCTTTAATTGCGCCTGCATGCGCTGATATATGTCTTGGCATATCATATTCTCATAATAACTGATTGTATTAATTGTGTATCGCGGCTGCAGTACTTTGATAAAGTTAACAAAACCAGCACCTTTTATCAAACTAAAGGAATAATCATGCTGGACTATCATCAAAGCCAATTTCTCATCACACGCATAAGCTTCGTCCGAGTCGATAGGCCTTTGGACTTCCAATGGATCTGTATCCTGGAAAAATAGTGATTGTTTTAAGTTAAAATGTGAATTCCGCTTCAAAGTGAATGTTCTTTTTTTTTACGTGTAACTGCAAGTTCGTGTTGGCGGTTGCGCTATCGTTAATTTCCGTTTTCACCATGTACTTCATGTCGTTTTCGGATAGTGTTAGAAATTCGGCAGGATGCTTGCTCTTTAAATGATTTCGCAGACATGTTGTGCCACGACCCTTGCGTGAATAGTTTTTGTGGCACAGGCAACAAATTGCGACAGTATCGCTTTCTTTATAGAAAAAGTTCCAAACGCGACTCTTCTTGCTCATTATTTAATTTGCGGATACTCCGCTTTACATCCGTTTCGTCGCAGCCCTAATATACAACCTACGATAACACAAAACGATTACGATAACTGTTCGATTGGTCAGATTTAGTGTTGCCACCCTTGCTAGATATTTCTATCGAGTTTCTTCCATCTATAATTTTGCAATTTGGCGCGCACGCGACAGCAGCAGTCAGTAATTGTTTGTTTATTTGCGCGATGCCTTGCAACACGGAATTGCCGAGCTCTCCAGAGGAGCTGTCGAGTCAAGACAGTGCCCGCTGGAAAGAATTACTCAACGACTCCACCAAATGGCACTCTATTCCGCTGCTAAATCACACGCCACTGCACAAATTGAGGGATCAGGGACTGGTTCGTTTTCGCGGCATGGTGCAGGACATGATGGATCCAGAAATCTATTTGGAGCGCTACGAGGTGAAGTCCGCCGACGGAAGCACACGCCTACAGCCAGGCAAATATCGCGATTGTCTTCGACTGGGTAAGGATGAGCAACTGGACTACCAAGCCGAGAGCAATGTGCATGGCGAGCGGCGTACATTGTTCGTTGTGTCGGTGCCTGGCTTAAATAACTGGGCCAAAGAGCATGAAAAACTGTGTAACCCGCAATCAGAGAAGCTAACAAGTCAACAGACAGTAGTTGGAAATGGTATTAAACGCGCGCTTGATGAACAGGAAGACATGGAGGTAGACAAAGCAGATGAATCAAGCGGCATTAGCTCACTTAAAAAGCAATGCGTGGATGTTGAGCCTAAAGCGGAAACTACTGCCAGCAGCTCCGCTGTGCTGGGCACTGACTATTTGCTCAACTCGCCGCTGCCCGATCGCCCAAGCATGGCCTGCATGATAAAGGTTTACGAAGACTTTGACAAGTACACGCTAAACTCTCTTATGGATTTCGTGGGTTTTCTGTCCGTGGATCCAGCGCTGGACGCATCCACGCTGGATGTTGAGGCCATGAAGGATGTGGAAAGCTTAAGTGAGCTGCAGGCACAGAATCCATCGCCGTTCTTAATACCACGCTTGCATGCCTTTGGCGTCAAGTCGTTGTGCCATGCTAATCCGCTGCTGGATCAGAGTCTGCAGCAACCCGCAGTACCGGAGCTGGGATTGACGCAACAATCCCTGGAAACTATACACAAGGACTTGCGAATGCTGCTTAAGCTCTGTTTATTTGAGGACGAGCTTGCCGCCGAATATCTGCTCTGTCATCTCATCTCTACGGTTTACAGCCGTTCCGAAATGCAGAGCATCGGTAAATTTGCACTAAACATTTGCAATCTGCCCAAAGAATGCTTGCACCAGTACACAACAAAGCTATACGAGGTGCTTGAGCTACTGCTACCCGCCAGCCACTATCTACCCATGACACTGGACACCATGAACACGGCCGCCTTTGCACCAAAGTAAGTTACCGCTCCACTAAATCTTTTGATAATTCATTGAACTCTTTTATTGCCAACAGAAAGGATTATGAGACAAACAAGCTGGTTTCTGGACTGCTGCAGCTGGCACCCCACACGCATCTGCTGCTGGACGAGACGCGCATGCAGCAGGGCAAGCTGGAGGCAAATGGTGTGCATGCCATACAGCATCTGGCCAATCTGATCAACAATCAGCAGTTGAAGTGCGACTTTCAGTATTATCAAATAGACTACAACGTTGATATTCCGGTGCTGGTGCTCAGTGAGGGCCGCAGCATGTTACCGGTAAGCAATGACAACTCGCACAGGACACATAAATAGAAGTTATAAACCCTTCGTCCACCTTCATTTACAGAGCGACTTTGTGCTGCCAATTAATGCCGATGGCAAAGCTGTCGAGCTATATGAGGAATCTCTAAAGGCAGCTCTGCACTATTTGCAGCCAGCGCGATTGCAGCAGTTCCGCAACTATTTGACCATGTCGAGGATCACCCAATTCAGCGTGAGCGACGAGCATACGGAAATGATACAGCAGCACTTTGTGGACATGCGCAAGGCGAACGTGAAAAGCAATGCTGATGATTTGCATGGACTGTTGGTTTTGTTGCGTCTTTTGGGCATTGCGCGCGGCAATGGGGCGCTAGATAAAGAAACCTGGCACCTGGCCACCGAGTTCGAATCAAAACGTCGCCAGCGGCTGCAGGCATTGCCCAAGTCAAGCGTTCCGATGCGCAATTAGGTACCCCCAATTCAATACATAAATATTTTAAGTAAAGTTTCTAATATTTTAGTTTTCTCCGGTTCGTACACTTGTTTGAGATTCTTTATTAACTTTCCGCGCTTCCCTAAGTTTCTGGAAGGCGTGAAATTTGTTACGTCCGTTTATGTACCACAGTGTCTCCTGATAGGTGGATGGCAGCACCTCTGTGACGTTCCGTTCAGCCTTATAGGTGAGATGCAGGGCGTTTGTTGTAATCTGTACCATATTGTTCGCATCCAGGGCCTGCACAATTGTCAATAGTTGAATATATCTTTCGAATGTGTATACAACGTAGGAGGTCACTTTCAGGAATGAGTTCATCTTTAGCGGCCGATAAAACTCAACGTCCATTATGCACTGGATCAAGGGCCGACCGCCAGCATGAATACAGGCGGTAATGAAACTAATTTCCACAGCGGAGCGCATCACAAAACCAGCAAAAATGTAATTGTGCGAATTGCGATTCTCGGGAAACGCATGCAACATGGTCGTTTGAAAGGATTGCGACATCCATTTACAATTTGGTGGCAATTTGGAGGGCATACTCCTAATTCCTAATGCGTTCATACCTCTGGTCCGCTTGAAGATCTCATACATGAGCTTTCCATCGCTCGATGTTGGTTTAATATTGAGCACAGATTTCGATTGTTTAGCCATTCGTTTCTTTTGCCGCTTGATGGAGTTCGCCAAACAGAGCTTCTCCTCCTCGTTGGCGGGCTCTAGAGCATTAACTGGTGCCGATCTCGTATTTGTCGCATTACGGGCAACCATCATAATTATGGCTTTGGCTATGGTTTGCATTATCTGTCGTATATATATTGTTAACTCCATGCAGCTGTTGCCAGTCCACGAGACGTGACCACACAACTCAATATCTTCAGAAGCCGAGATTCTATTGATATTAGTGAAGTCTACGCTGTCGTACAGGAACGTAACAAAGTTGTAGGGCACCGGAATACCCTTTGGCAATGTCGGGATACATAGATGACGATGACAGATCCACACTGCAAACTTGGCATATTTAAGCGTCGTGTTGGCTCGTTGGCTCTCAAATACATTTGCTTACCGGCAAACAGGTCCAGCTCCTCCATTAAACGACCTATGCGGACTCGACCCAGATGGTTGACATAGCGCTCTCGGATCGGAACCGTACTCAGTGGCAATACAGCAGTTGTAAAGGAGTCTTTCATGGTGCGTTCCGGCAGATCCTTTTGCGCGGGCTGATATTTCAGTAGATTGGCACGGCACTTGGGTATGGAATAGTAGCCCGGTTCCAGACCGATTTGTTTCTGAATTTCCCTAGCCACTACAATGCATCGTATTAATAGAGCAGCTGCACGGGAAGATTCGGAGACAGTTACCATCTAACATTGTACCAGAACAGTGACCCGACTGGAAGGCCTCAAATTCGCATGTATCATCCCCCTTTCGAGAAGTGTGAAGAGACTGATGCATATTAAGTAAATGGCAAGCACATAGTTTATGGAATATTTGAAGAATGCATTGGACCGAGTACGCCGATCCTGGAGCTCTGAGCACGTGGGCCATCCTAAAGAATCAGCAAACGCATAGAATAGAATTTAGAGGGATATTCCAAGTACTACTACTTCAAATTTTATTTCAATTTTAATATTTTGGGGAAGAAATCGGTCCTATTTCATAAAAACATATTACCCGCATTGTTTTCTTAGGCCACAACTTCTTTAATACAAAATAATATTTATAAATATTGCCCCCCTATGTGATTCTCAGAAATTCAGTAAGAGGAATTCTTGCTTTGATAATAAGTTTTATATGGAGTATGAACAGGATACTCCATATTTTTTCTTCTCTTATTTTTGCTCTCCTGCTTTTCTTAACACCCCCTCCTTATTTCCTTTCTTCTTTTACCTTCCTGTTACTGAAAGGCAATACAAATAATCGCGTGTGGGTAACTGACAAATAGCTTGATTAGAATTCGAGGGAGGCCGCAATATTTCTATGCTGAAAGTGAAAATTTGCACGCTCATCATTATTTTCTTGAAGCTTATTGCAAAGCTTCATAGATCAAATAGATGACGCCTATAAATTCTCGACTAGAAAATACACGGCACTTTGGTCTGAAAACTATCATATCACGTTAATATATGCTAAGATACCAACAATAGTAAAAACTAATTTTCAGTTCAAGTTTTAACCGATTTATATCGAGAATATATGTATGTAGACATTTAATTAATGCCCCAAGCCTATTAAGGGGCATACAAATGCGCAATCACCGTTATAATAGGTGCGGTGAGAAATGCTGGTACGAATTTCACCACAAATCAGAATAGCCTCTGCCGGGGTAGAAAAGCGCGCTATCATCGTTATACGAATTTATGCTCACGTGAAAGCTTGCAAAAGCTTTGACGCTAAACTTTGAAAATCTTGAGCCCCACGCGTACATATATAAGGCATAAAAGCTGTGGACAGCTTTAGTTTAATTCATTGCGTTGATGCGATCACCACGCCCACAGCAAGATGTCGAAGATTGTACTATATGGAATTATTATGTCCCCGCCGGTTCGTGCTTGTTTACTAACACTTAAAGCACTGGAGCTGCCATTCGAATTCAAGGAGGTAAATCTTGCCGAAGGCGAGACCCGCTCACCGGAATATCTAAAGAAAAATCCACAAGGCACAGTGCCGCTGCTGGATGATAATGGTACTCTCGTATGGGACTCACATGCCATATGCATGTATTTGTGCGACAAGTATGCCAAGACGGATGAACTCTATCCCAAAGAACTATTGAAGCGCACTGGGGTCAATCAACGTTTGTTCTTCGATGCCAGTGTGATCTACAAGGCGTTGTGGAATGTTAGCAGTGCGTTCTGGATGAAGGGAATCACTGAGGTCTCAAAGGAGAAGACCGACAATGTTCACGAGGCGCTGTGGTTAACCGAGGTTTTTCTGGATAAGCCATACATCGCGGGAGATTCGCTGACCATTGCTGACTTCTGCTGTGCCGCCACCGTCTCATCGGTGCCAGCTGTTCTAGACATTGATCCACAGCGATATCCGAAAATCACCGCTTGGCTCGCCCGTCTCGGTGAGCTGCCATACTATGAGGAGTCCAACAATGTGGGAGCCAAGCAATATGCGGCATTCATGAGAAGCCAGTGGACGAAAGTTGAGCTATAAGAGAATTTTAAGGCGAATGTGACAGTACCTTGTCTATGTATTATAAATAAATTAACATATATTCTATGACACTTAACGTTATTTGAGTGCTTAAAACAAACAATGGTTCGTTTTTTCTAATTGAAATGTAAACAACTATTAGGTTTTTTTTTTGTCAATGCGTATAATTTTTTATGAACTCTTAAGTATTTGATTTCTTGGCTTTTCGATGTCCAAGCAATTGGCGAGAATACAACGCTCAAACAATTCGTATGCTTCATTGACACTGAGTGGCTACAGCAATGTTGTTGTATTTTCATTTATTTAATCTGACTTAATAAATATTAACAGCAATTCGTTGAGAAGTACTTTAAACGTTATGGCTTCTTTTCGAATGTATCTACTACGCATAAAATCTTGTTCGCTCTTCCATTTTAAATATTAATTAAAGTACGCATTCTCGAAAATGTTTTGGCGCCATTGTCAAAAATATAAGACAACAGTCACTTTGCATTAATCATATAATTTTTATTTTGCCGCTAAAAGCTAAGAGCTGCATACCATGCACAAGCATTACTATCGATTTGAATATTTGCTATCGATAGGGTAAGCTCATCGATTTATTGGAAGCATAAGCCAACGAAAGATAGTCTAAACAAAATGAGTAAAAGTAACAAAATTGTCTGGACCGATGAGATTTTGTTTTTTATAATAAAACATGTGAAAGTGGCGCCATTCGTTTGGGACCACTCCCATCCACAATTTGCATATAAATCAAAAAAGGCAAAATTCTGGTCACTGCTTGCAGAAAAGGTCAATGCCTACGGTGGATTTTTTTCAACCACACCAATTACAAAGGGTTAATTAAATAAAATTGTTAAAAAGAAACAAATTGCATATTAAAGTAATAACGTTATGATTCTAGAGGCATTGCAAAAAAAATGGACAAACATGAAAACATACTATTTGTTCGAGGAGAGCAAATCAAGGAGAATCGGAGCAGATGCAGATAACTTCAGTACCACCTGGAAATTTAGGTCAACATTGTCGTTCCTAAGTTCAGCTCTGGACACACCAGCATCTCGACCACAGCAACAACAAACTACATCGGAAGTTAGCACATGTGGCACTATTCTACCTCCCAACCCAAGCGAGAGTAGTTTTGATCTATCTGAAGACGATCCACTTGCTACACAGGACTGCCTGCCACCAAATATTACGATAAAAACTGAAGAACCGTCAGCCGAAGATCCGCCAGCATTAAGTGAGCATGAGAATGAAGAAGAAGAACCGTTGTCACCTGTAAGAAAAAGACCAAAAGAGGCCCCAATCATAGAAGTGCGAACACCTAGGAAAGCAAACAAATCATATTTTTATCATTATGGCATGACTGTTGCCCAAGATTTGGATCAACTGGATGAGGACTACAAAATAGATGCTAAACTGGAAATAATGCAAATTATTGCCAAATACAAAAGAGAACAATACTTGAATCAAACCGACAGTTAAAGTAAAAGTAAAATTTAAAAAACTCATGGTTTTTGATTTTAATTTATTTTGAAACTGAGCCAGTTTAACTCCCCTGTTGAGAATGCCTGCACAAAACGTAATAGAATTTGCTAACCACAACAAAAAGCAAAAAATGGTATTTGTGATGTTACACAACACTGACAATCGCTTGCGAAACATCGTTAGTTATCGATAACCACATCAACAGCTGTGAGCAGCAGCAGCAGTCCAAGCACCAGACTTCAAAGGAAACTGTCTGCTCTGCACAGAGTAGCTATAAGTAGTATAAGAGTGTATAAGAGGCGAGCATAATTTCAAATATACATGTTTCTTGTGACAAAATCAATTGTGTAAAATATTATTTTGTTTTTTAATGTAATAAAACCGCAATAACAACCGAATCTGCGTGTAAAGGTACCGACAAGCACAAACGCAAGCTGCAAAAGCTGTGCGCCAAATCAATTTACGGCGCACAACGTAACGCGAAAATCGATTTCAGTTTTCGACTGCTGTTGCCAGCAGCTGCTGCTGTATGAACTCAATTAATGTACAATTGTACAATTAATTTCATTCCACCTCCAAACAGCAAGTGCAAAATGCACTCACACACGGCCTCAGTGAGGAGGCCACTGGCGGATCGCTGCTGGTGGCAAAGCTCGCTGCGGCTGCTCACGGTCTGTGCCCTCATCGCTGGCTGCAGTGCGGCCGACACGGACATAACGCTCGATGCGAAAGCGACGCTCAATCATCGCATTCAAAGTCTCGATTTGCTGGTATTTGTATTCCTGCTGGCCCTAACGGTGCTGACCATTTGGCTATTCAAACATCATCGCGTTTCCTGGCTGCATGAGACCGGATTGGCTGTTATTTATGGTAAGCGAATCACTCGACCAGCTAACGTTGCTTATTTATCTATGCACGCTATTTGTTGGCTTTTATAATTATCATTCATTCTTGATTTCATCATTTTCCCTTTTCGCCGCTCGTCAATTCAGCCGCGTCGTCATTTTGACCCTGTCATTGCCAACTGCAGCTTTTATTGTCGCCTCTTGGTTTTTCTTACATTCGCAACATGCCTCACCTACACATGTACATACTTATACACATAGATATACATATATAAATGTATATGCATTTGAATAGGTATTTTTACACCTTGTGTGCACAGCCCCCTTCTATAAAAAGGGGCACCTTAAACATAAAAACAAAACTCGCCTCTGTAATCGGAACAGTAAAGCTTTCAAGGCCCGTATATTATACAAAATAAACGGGTTGATGATATACGAACCTGTATTTGGAGACTCTGATTACACATGACGTCGCAAAAATTCTTTAGTGCACCTTCTGTTTATCCTTAAAAACAAGTGACCCATTATAAAACTCAAAGATATGCATATTTATGTGCATATTTTTATTACAGTGCATATTCGCTAAGGTTGAAATCAAAGCTCCTACAGACTTTATAGCGCTATAAATTTATGAATCATTTACCATAAAGTATACTGGTGCACTTTAAATGAAAACAATTGTAGTGACAAAAGAACAATAATCAAATTACAAAACCAAGTAAACAAATTAAAGTGCAAATTTTTTAGTTATTATTAATTAAATATCAACTTCTGCCAGAATTCAGATTCATTGCATCTTTTTTTTTATTAATTTAGTTCAAATATTGAATTATAATTGTTCCTTGGAAAAATTTGTATGCTTCATAAGAAACTGTTTTTCACAAAGAGAAATTTTAATATTGAGCTCATTAATATTTAAGAGGGTAGAAAATGTTCATTTCATATGAAATTATATACACATACTACAGCTCTTTGATCAAACATTTTCTAACGTACTATCTAAACAAATAGATAATTTAAACTAATATATTCACTGCAATAATAACACAGCATGCGAGAGATTTAATTGAGCTCTTTTGATCTTAGATGTGAATTTAATTTAGCATGCTGCCTTGCAGTAATAAATAATTGAAAAAGTTTAAAGCAATTCACTCTAGCGAATCCTCACTGTGTATGTGTATATATACACAGGTGCCTGCCTGTGCACCTCACAATCGCATATGTTGTTCGATTTGGGTTTTTCCTCAATCGTTTTATTGCATTTAGCTTTAGTTTTTGAATAAACTGTGTCATCGATGCCAACGGGAAATCAAATACTTACTAACCTATTAGGCAAACAGGTCGGTTGTAATTTTCACAAGTACATTTCTAAAGCTAATTAGGGAGGCTCCTATATAGCCACGTGATTTGTCCATGCCAGCCGCTATTACTTGTTTTTTCTTGTCGCATGCAATGAAAATAATTAAATATGCTAATTAGACAGTGTATCTAAATTAGCGTAACCTCTAATAAAAGACAAAATCTGATTGCCCACGAAATGTGTTTGTACTGGCCAAAATAAAACAATAAAATCTAACAATACAATGCAGATACCACTCAAGAGTTCAGGCAACGCGCAAACTGTTTGGCTGGCTGATAAGCATTTTCTTGTTTTCACTGAGAATGAGTCAACATGTCAAGTATTTGTGTTCCACAGTTGTTCTACACGATCTTATCAACAACAGACTGGCAGCTCATTCATTAGTCATTTTAAAAACGGGCTTTGTGATAGGTCAGGCAGTAATTAAATAGGCTTACGACAAGAGCTGTAAAATAAAACACATTTGAATCGATTTGGTTGGACCTTTCGATTATGCGCGAATCAGTTGAGTCTGAGAATTACCCGTTGACTTTTTTCTTATCAATATCTCATATATTTGAGTTATAATATGCAGTTGCTAGTTTTTAATGTATGGGCTACTATCTAAGGTTTCGGTAGGAAAAATCTATTTTTATTTACCCAGTTTAATAAATAGTGAATCAGTTTTTATTCAGCCACTTTAATAAATAATAAATCTGCTGTTATTTTGACAACTTAAGTTTCCAAGTTTGTAAAGCATGTATTTATTGAGAAGTATTTAAAATGAATTGGAAAATGATTTGACGAAAAATTGAATCTATTGAATTTCCCATCCTTATAGCTGAGAATTCATATATTTTCAACTTCAACTTCGTTATATCCCTATCTTGATTAATTGTCTATTCAATTGCAGGTTTAATTGTTGGTGCCATCATACGATATGCTGGCACAAATACCACCCTGGTGCACATGCAGGTGGAGCCGCAGGGTATACCCACGTATAATGCCAAATTGCCACCGGACACACTCTGGTTTAAGGTGAGTACAGTTACACACACGCGGCGTTTGCTTATGCAATTTAAGTCAATTGTAATTGCATTTGTTTTCTTTTGTTTTGTTCAGTATCCGGTTAATCAGACAAACGCCACAAAGCTGCCCGAGGGTGTGAAGACATACGCGTACGTGTTTCGTGGACAGGTCTACGATATCGAGGAGAATGAAATTGATTTGAAGGCCACATTCGATCCGGAGGTCTTTTTCAATATCATATTACCGCCCATTATATTTTATGCTGGCTACAGCTTAAAAAAGGTTTTTCAATTTGACTGAATGTACAAATATATGCAACATTATCTTAACCGAATTTCCTTTCTGTTTGCAGAAATACTTTTTCCGCAATTTGGGCGCCATTCTGACTTTTGCCATTGTGGGCACTACCTTGTCGGCGTTCCTCATCGGTGGCGTGATGTACGGCTGTGTTAAGCTGATGCCAAATTACTTGAGCAGCAGTTTCACATTTCTGGATACGCTGTATTTTGGGGCGCTGATATCGCCCACAGATCCGCTCACCATACTGGCCATATTCCATGATCTGCACGTCGATGTTAATCTCTATGCGCTCGTATTTGGCGAATCTGTGTTAAACGATGCCGTTGCCATTGTCTTAAGCGGGTAAGCTCTTTACTAAGTAGAACTTACCTACTTATTAAATCAAGTAGTTTTTAAAAGAGGAAACGCATTCCTGTACAGTGTGTATAATAACAATTGTCTTATCAAATGTGTAAAGCATAGACGAAAATGTCCGAAATTGTATACCCCTTACTAGTAGTGTCAACAGCCGCGTTGATATATTGTCCGTGTACTTTATGACTCGTCTTTTTGCTGCAGGGAGTATATATATGGTTGTCAGCCGACATGGATCTATATATTATCTATCAGCTATAGGAACTATCGCTTAATTACTATGTCAACTATGCTTCCAATATATTAGCTATATTTGACTCACTATATATCATTATTATTATAACGATTTGCAGTAAATCAAGTTGTTTACAGCTGAAATAAATCACTGTATGCCCGTATGGTATTTAAACTACAAGAAAATTCATTTGCTTAACCATTTTTTATGGGTATATATTTTCCTTTAAGCTACTGATAAAATGTTTTTTTAAATGCGAACCCACACTTAATTAATTTATGGTATTTAAACTACAAGAAAATTCATTTGCTTAACCATTTTTTATGGGTATATATTTTCCTTTAAGCTACTGATAAAATGTTTTTTTAAATGCGAACCCACACTTAATTAATTCTTATCAGCTTCGCTGCAGGAAATTGCAATGTGCCAACAGTATATACAATACTTTTTATCGTTTATATATATTTACAGTGCAATACAAAACTACGGCGAGCATTATTCGAATAGTGGAGAATTTGAGACGACGGCGTTTCTCCGCTCGCTGAGCGACTTTTTCTGTATCTTCTTCTTGTCGCTGCTGATTGGCGCCGTCATGGGCTGTTTTACAGCATTGATATCCTTTTTGAAACACAACACAAATATTATTAATTATTATATGTATAAGCTTAATCCATTTTGTTTCCTTAACTCCTGCCACACTTGACCAAGTTTACGCGCGTTCGTGACTTTCCGCTGCTGGAGTCGGCGCTGTTTGTGCTCATGAGCTACAGCACGTTTCTGCTGGCCGAGGCCACGGAGTTGACCGGCGTGGTGGCCGTATTGTTTTGTGGCATCTGCCAGGCTCACTACACCTACAACAATTTGTCCGAGGACTCGCGGCAGCGCACCAAACAGATCTTTGAGCTGCTCAACTTTCTGGCCGAGAACTTTATATTCTCGTACATTGGCGTCTCGATGTTTACATTTCCCAAACATCATTTCGATGCTGGCTTCATAATAACCGCATTTGTGAGTAATATTCAAAATTATATTAATATGTCAACTAATAGATTTAATTTCTTTTATAGATTTGCGCCGCTCTGGGACGTGCTGTTAATGTCTATCCTTTGTCCTGGCTGCTGAACATTAAACGCAAACCAAAAATCTCATCTAATTTCCAGCACATGCTTTTCTTTGCTGGTACTTACGCCCGGAATTCCAATCTCCTCAGTGTTTAATTGTCAATTTGTTTTAATTAGGTCTACGTGGCGCCATGTCCTTTGCCTTGGCCATTCGAAATACTGTGTCCGATGCGCGCCAGACCATGTTGACAGCCACATCGCTGATTGTCATCTTTACGGTCATTATTCAGGGCGGTGCGGCTAACTTTTTTCTCAACTGGTTGAAAATACCGTGAGTTCAATTGGTTCATAAAAAAATCAATAATTTCTTAATAGACAATTCTTAATTGCAGCGTTGGCGTCGATGATGAGACTGAACAATTGAATAACTATCAGGTTCACAGTGTGAGTATCTACTTTCCACAATCAGTTCACTCGATTTTATATCATTTTATATAAGAGCTACTTAATTTGGTTTGGGGAATGTGTTGACAAAAAACTTGAAGAATGCACGGCTAGTATTTTAGTTAGCTGGATAACAATTAATATAACACTATATTGAGCCGGTTCATTGTCCTTATCTCTTAGTATTGTGGTCTGAAGCGAAATTCGGAGTCAATCAATTTTTCAATTCGAGCATATTTCATTGCAAGAGTATCATTGGTTGGCATCGGCTTCAATTGTCTTGTAACTTAGGGAAAATTAAATCGGCTATTATATCACAAATAAGATATTATATGGGATTCTAATTAATTACGAGTTTGGTTCAAGAACTTGTCCCTCATCTAAAAGTATAAGCTTATTTTAAATTATAAAAGTAATAATCGGTGGCCTTTTTTGAAAATTTAATTTCTATATGCATAAATCCTATTTTTATTTCCCGCCTTGGCTATATTTTATGTTTACGTTTTCAAATTTAAAATGCAACAATTTAGTTTATTATATTAAAATTATTTCAATTGCAATTTATCTTGTAATATTTACATAATTTTATTAATCAAAATAAATTAATTTTTAATTTTCATATGGCACAAAAAACATTTAAAAGCGCAATTAGAAAGTATAAATATTGTAATAACGTGTATTTGTTAACATATTTTTTACACGATTTAAAAAATGATGATTCGGTTCCTCTTCGGGTTCGGTTCAAAGCCCACTTGTATTAAAATCTTGTTAATCAATTTTAAATGTTTTATTTTCTGATCAACATGCTTTTATTTAAAAAGGGACTTGTTTGATTTTGTAATTTTCATATGGAATATAATCAACATTTAAGCTATCCTTTAAAAATTCATATTAAAGCATTGAAGATGTTATTAATTTTGAGTTCTCGTAAAAACAACCATCTCACGAATAGGAATTGGGTAAAAATAAGTAAAAACCAGGACGTGAACCGAATCCATATATCTTCAGATCCCAATGCACAAGGGTATTTTCGACTATTTGAATAGAAAGGGATTAGCTGGAATCTAAGAACCCGTTTTGCTCTAACCGCTAATATGAGGAATTCAGAGTCCTAAAATCGGTCGAAATCCAATATACAATTATCCGATGGCCAACGGGCCTGTTCTTTAAAAGAGATGTCTCTTCTGCATATTAAAATTATCAAATAGTTTAATCGCAAACTGAAGGGCATTTGTTTTGATTTGAAATGCATTTCTGATTCTGTTTTTGGTCATACATTAAAAACGTATTCTCTAACCTATTTATTTTGTACAATTTTGCGCAATTCACGCCATTTTCCATCTATCAAAACAAACCAAAAAAAAAAAGGTTTACAATTCCATGGATAATTCACATTCGGCTCCGGTACGTTGACAAATAATTCCATTCAATTGCAAATTAATGTATGCTTCTCCCTCGTCCTTTGTTCGCAAATAACACTAGCACATACACACACACGCACACAAACACATTTAGAGAATTAAGTTTTTCAATTTTTTTTTAGTTCTGTTAAGTTTTTTATAAGCATTTTATTTTGGTGCTGGTACTTTTAGTAAAACACATCTATACACATACACAAAGCTCTAATTTTGTCTCGTTGAAATTTGTTCAGTCTGATGGCTATTTGCAGGACGTGGAAGGTGGCGGCGCCGGCGCCGGCGGTGGGCGTGGCAAGACACGCCTTTCAAGTGGCGCCGACTCGAATCTGGATACGCCGCTGGACGGCAATGCGGCGACTGCAACAATAGCAGCAGGCGGACGGCGACGCAACAGCCATGAGAAGGCGATTCTGGCGCGGATTTGGGGCAACTTTGACACCAAGTAAGTAGCAATAAGTCAACTGTTCTTGAGCAGGAGTACAAGCCTGGGTATTTTGCAGATATATGAAGCCGCTGCTGACGCACTCCAGGCCCACGCTGCTGGAGACGCTGCCGGTTTGTTGTAATCCCATTGCCAGACTGCTGACCACCACGCAGCAGCTGACGCAGGTACGTGGTAGACTCTGAATAGTTGTCGCAATCAGCGCTAAGTTTTACACATTTGCTTAACAGGATGGCAGCGAGTTTCGACGAGTCGACTCCGACTCGGATATCTGCATTGACAACGATACTGGCAATGGGCTCAGCCAGGATAGCCTCGGCGGAGGGCGTCGCAACTCGATAAATCGTGTAAGTATTCGGTACATGGGCGATACTCAGAACCTACTTGCTAGCTACAGAAATGTTGAATGAAGCACCAAACCAAAGACTAATACCATGTAGAAAGAGCAACTAACCAAACCAATAACAAAACAAAAACCGAAGAACAACAATATCTAACTAGATATTTTGGCCAAGTAGACGCATTGTTATAAGCGAGATTTATATCAAAACTTATACTACCAACTGCAACAATTACTTACTATGCATAAAAATATATACATATATATATTTATATATATGTATGTATTGCTTATGTAGCATAACAAAATTGTGATTCGTTAACTTTTTAATTATAATGATTTAACTGTTAATTTTGTACAAACAACCAAACAAGAAACGTTTTAAAAACACAATTTTTTATTTTGTCTCCCATTATTATTGTGTTGTTCAATTATAATTAAATAATTATGTATTATTTAAATAGGCCAAGCGATTTCTAGTCTTAATATATATTTATTGTATATTATTTTTGTTAATATTACATACTGTTTAACTGCATGGCTAACCAAAATATATAAGTACATACAAAACAAACAAAATGCAAAATGTAACAACTTCCTCAGCGAAAATAATAATTTATTTATTTGCTGCGGCATCTTTCTTTCTATCTTTCCTCAAATCATCTAACAAATAAACAACTCATGCGGACTTTTAACCATTTAATTATTACGTTTAACGGTTACCATCTGCTCCTCCAACTGAAACAACAACCACACATACTTATCCAATACCATAACGATTGCATAAACTAAACATATTAAAACAATAGTCAAATATATTAAATGAAACTAATCACATTGCAAACGAACTCAGCTTGGTTACTAATAATTTTATGTAATCTCTCGAAAACGAAACGTATTTATTAACCCGAAATCGAATTTAACAGAACAAATGAAACAAATTCGTCTATTATTCAAATTTCGATTATTATTCAAATATTTCGATTATTTTGCTTTTGCAATTTGTCCATTTTTTATTTGTTTTTAAATTGATTTATTTTACGAACATTACTGAGAACTAAGCAAACAACAAGACTTGGTAACACCCCGTGATAATAATAATATGTTGTCGGCCTGTCCGATCGCACAAATATATTAGAAAAATCCGGTTTAAGGGTATTTCCCAATTACCTTTAGGTTGGCTGCTTGGGAATTTATAAGTATTGGTAGCTTTTTAAGGCACTCGCACAATATTGAAGAGGCTTTTTTTGTACTTTATAATTATTATTTATGTTTATGTATCTCACAATCTAATTTCTTAGAACCTAACATGCGACTAACCATGTAAGTATACAATTATAAGTTCATTTTCATTTATTTTGCTTACATTCTTCTATTTATCTATTTTTGTATGCAAGCTTAGTTTCAGTTAACGTTAACGACAATTATTTTGTTTTCTTACATGTTATTTATCTTGGAATTTATTTTATAAATTTCTTCTTATAGGTTACAGGCGAACATGGAAATGTTCATATCTAAGTTGATTTGTTGCTACATACATATTTATGCAATTGGTCTCATTTAAAATGAAAAATTTAATGCGTACAAATTAGATTTTTATTTTGGAATTTTCTTTTAGTTCTTAAGACATTGTGATTTGGATTCTAGTTATCAGTCTATGAGTTAGTTTAATGATCATTTTGTTAAAAGTGAAAAAAAAGTCTATGATTTAGTTTATTGATCATTTTGTTAAAAGTTTAATATTGATTCTTGTGATTAAGGTGTTTTCAAATTTATTCACATAATTGTTTATATTATTTAATTACCTAGAATAATTATTTTTCTTTTTCCATGAAGGGATATATATATAATTTTACCCTAAGCTGTAATTAACATGGAAACACAAAATTGCAAATGTGTAAAATTTTAATATAAAATAAAATACTCATAGCTTTATTATATTCCCTTTCTTTTTATTTGAAACCGCTGCTACATTTAATTGCAACTGAAAATCAAATATTTATACATTTTAAAAATTATAAAACTGTTCTTCAAAATCGTATCGTACCAAAACACAAATATTTAGATGGAAATCCTGGAGCATGTTCAAAGTCCGGTATCAACGAGAATCAGGCTATTAGGATTTTATGGCAAGAAGTTATAGGAACTATAGAAAAAACCCCTTCTGTTCTTTTTTTTAACCGTAGTTTTACATTTCTATTGACATACTATTAAAACATAGATAATGCTTTCGAAATTGCCGAACAATAATTAGTGTAAATAAATATATTTGAAACTGCTTTAGATATGTATTTGCGTTTTAAAATTATACAAAATTTTGCAATACATTATCATATATATTTTGTTCATGTATATTAAATGTGTAATTCGCGGTGTTTGCACGATAAAAATACACAAATGTAAGGATATTCGGTATTAATATTCAATATTCTGTCTATTGAACACTTTATTAATGCATACATGATTTTATTTAATGAAAACTTATAGACATTGAAAATATTAATTGTTGTGCTATTAATTTGTAAGTTTCAAATCAATAAAAAAAAATAAACGACTATGAAGTGCTTGTTTTTATAAAAATTTTGAAATGTGGTATGTTTCCATGAATTTTCAAGTATTTCCAATTTCTGGTCTTATTTCAAACTTGCCGCCATCGTAACGCAATAGGTGACCATATATCGATAGTTACTTATCGTTTTAAGCTTGGTACGAACCTCCCTTCTAGAGTTGTCAATAAAAACGTTATGCGGTGCTTTTTTGCTGTAAAGCGAAAGAAATATATTATAGAATTTTTAAAAGACAATTACCACAAAAACCTTTTATTTAATATTTGATAATATTTAATAATTTGATTGTTAATAACAAAGAAACATGTTAACGAACCTATGTGATAAATTTTGCTCCCTAGTCAGCATACTAGTTGCATATCGATACTATTGCAGCCCTCGCTAGGCGCGTCGCTTTATTTATGTAGTCTGCAAATTTAACAATCTTTTAATGTTAACAAAGTAGAAAACTATTTGTTAAAAGGCAAAATGGATATGGTAAAGCGAGCATTTTTACGCGCCTGCTTAAATCACAGCTGCCTTGATCACGATCAAATTGATAAGATATTAATTCCGCTCTGCGAGCATCATAAAGTTACAAAACCCGCGAATGTTGAGGCTCTGCACGAATTCGTTAAGGATATCGAAGGAACTATAAGGGAGCTCAGTCAGTCGTTGACCTTTATGAAACATCCCATAACGGGCAAGGAGTATTTGGTGTTTGCCATAACGGACGCGACGCCCGATAAACAGAATCATCCGGGACTCACAGCTGAGGAATGCCTGTATTTTTCGAATTTATTGGACAAATTGGGTCAGCAGGAGGATTGTCACATTGCGTGGAACGAGGCATATTCTGATTTGGACTTTAAGGGATCTACGAAACCGCCCAAGAAGCTCCGCATGCAGACACTACTCCAACTCTGGACCGAGATGGGCTACTTCCTCGAAGCGGACGACCGACTCTATTTGGGTCCACGCAGCATCGTAGAGTTCGAGTTCTATTTGCGATCCAACTACGCGGATACGATAAAGGAATGTGCTCTCTGCAAGCAGCTGGTGCTCTGGGACATCAAGTGCTCCGATTGTGGCAGGAAAATCCATAGAGATTGCATACGAAAGTATTTGCGAACTCGCTCCAATTGCCCGACCTGTGGCAATAAGTGGGCCACGCGGCTCAGTCAATAATAATATGCAGATAGAGTATTTCATGAGCAACTGGTAGTACAATGTTGAGTTTAAAGAAATTTAAAATAATACAAATTTTTAAATAGTAAGTTTAACTGCCAATTCCAAAAGATTGTTATCTATTATAATTTAATTTTGTTTCGCTTATAATAAACAAGAAAAAATAATGTATAGATATGAATTTAAAGTTTAAAGGAAAACTTGAATGAAGCAATAAGTAAACCTTTTGCTTACAAGTCCAGCATACCCTCAGGAAGGGTATTCAAAGAAACTTGGAGAGAATGAGTACAGTTAGTTGAGTCGCAGCCAAATCAATGACTTAGAGAATCGAAGATAAATATGGCGTTGACGAAAAAAGTGCATTAGTTGAATGTTAGTCTTCGTTATGGATGTGTGTGAACGTTTAAGTAAAAAATGTCTGATGGACCAAAAAGACGTGCGCTCCTTTGTGAAAGGGCGTCGTCTCGACTGGCAACATGAAGTCTACCAGGTGCAATAACAGGTAAACGATTCAGATAAAACATAACTTTTAATTGCAATTCTTTAACTAGAACAAGCGAAGAACCAGCCCGGAATTCACCTTTGGCGATCGATTTATACCCAAACGCTTCAAGTCTGAGAGCATTGATTACAATCTGAAATATCTGGGCAAGACGAAAGAGCAGGATCTTCTGAAAATGGTGGGCACTTGGATATAGCAAAAGTATTTGCCTTAACATCTGTTTTGCCTATTTTTATTTTTAGAATCTAACACAATCATCGAGCTATTGGCGGCAGGGCAGCTTCGTGTCTGCCATAAATAATGTATTCAATGTACAAGAGGGTCGCTTGCTCCAGTTCAGCAATATGCAAAGTAAATACTCCAAGGCGCGCAAACCGAAAATCGACGGAGATTGGCCCTGCAAGCCACGCATCCGCCCGATGGCGTTTCCCACGGCCACCAACGAAATGCCCGAGCTGTGCACATCCTTCGGTATATAGACAAAAAGTATTCGACTCAGTTTGAGCACATAACTCACCTATTTCCATTTTAGATCATAATATGATGGACTGGTCGACTAACGGTCAAATGGCCCTCTCGTTTGGCGAAAACCTGATCATCTGGCGCAATCAGAATGATACCAGCATGATATTCAATGTGGAGCGGACAAGTGCCCTAAAATATTCGCCAAATGGCAGATACCTTGCCATTGGCTGTATGGATGGTGAAAATCCAGGTAGGTGATCAATAGATCAACTGATTTATAATACTCAATGTGTGTCCTTAAAAATGTTTGCCCTTCAGTTTTAGAGCTTTGGCTAGTGCAGTCACGAAACGAGTTTCTAGTAGCCGATGGCAAATATCTGCCAAGATCTTTCGAGTCGATATGTTGCATTGAATGGATGGAGGCGAAAGATGAGATTGTCTGCGGCACGAAATGCGGCTTAATTGTGGTACTGAACTTCCTGACGATGACCATAGAGCACGTTTTGCGTAAGCATACGAATAAAATCTGCTGCATGCGTTTCTCGCCGACGAGACGCTACTTGGCCACAGCCGATGTCCAGGGACATATATACATATTCGATGGCTCGCTATATAAGGTGATCTTGCGCTTGGGTGCCAAGGCGGGCGGCATTGTCTTTGACTGGCATCCATGGCTGGCCAAGGAGTTGGCCATTTGTGAGTAGATACGTATTTAAAATAATTTGATATTATAATCTGAAAATGGAAACCCTTTTTGCAGCGGAAAAACGACGGTCATCGATTTACATATTCCATGTGCCGCGCCGGGAAATTGTTGCTTATTATCAGCGGGGGGATGAGAAGATTTTAATCAACTCGATCAACTTTAGTAAGATCACGGGCGAGTTGCTGGTCAACATTTATAGACGTGGTAAGGTTTCGGCCAATTTCGAAGAACTCATTTATTTGAAAAGCAACAATTTCTAGATGAAAACGGTTGTGCGTACTGTGAGATCTTGGTGCTATCGTCATTGAACCGTGTTGTTGATATTTTGACGCATCAGGACAGAGGAGCACTGTTTATGATGTGGAGTCCGGATGGCACTAAGCTCGCCGCGGCTGGCCTGGATGAGTCCTTCTCGGTTTGGGAATTTTATCCCACCGACAAACTGGAAGCCTTGGAAAAAAAGGAAGAGCGCAAGAATACAAAGCGAAGCGCTTTAGAACTTTATTCGTCTCTTAGATAAATTCCAATCAAATTGTTGTTTTTTATCCAATTCTATGTCGGTATTTTAAAAGTTAGAAAACTATTTGTTGTCTCTGTTTTTGTGTTTTTATTTTATTTCAAAATTGTAAACATACGTGTACTTATTAGTTAATCATTCATTTTTCCAATTCATTTCATAAATCTTCCACTAAAATTCCATGGTTCTTCAACTTAAAGCGTATTATTTTTTTTGTTTAACAATATCATCCACCGATCGTAAAAATTGCAAGACATATGTTGTATGCTAGTAAAAAAAAGAGAATATGATAATCTAATGCAAATTGAAGATATACAAGTTCGAAATTTCAGGTGCCCAAATAATTCTTTCCATTGAAATCTATTATCTACGTTACTATTAATAAATGTAAGTGTAAATATAGGAAAACTATTATAAATATCTGGAACAGTTGACAGGTCCATCTATTTGGTCTATCCACGCCTCTGGGATTCCTGCTGAAATATATACTCCGCACAGGCTTCGGCTTCCAAACGTTGCTTTTTACTCTGATACGGTTTAATTAAAAAACGATTAGTGCAATATACGACAGCCGTGGATCCGATGGCGATGGCCATCATGCCGACAGTCGTTGATGCAAATTGTTTAATGAAGCTCATCTGTAATTTGAGTAAGTAAAAGAAGAAAACATTAAAATAATTGTTTTTAATATACATTTAACTACAATCTATCGCACTTTGTCGAGTTTGTTGTTGTGGCTACAACTGCTGTTGTTGTTGTTGTTGCTGGCGCTTCGCTGTTCTCAGACTTATTTTCGTTTTTAAATTTCAATATAAGTGGCTGCCAAATGTAAACACCGCCCAGAAAACCAATTGCGGTTACAACCATTAACTGAGTTACTGTAACACCACGAGGACGACGTATTTGCATTGCAAAACAAATTCAATTGGTTTGCTATGAATCCCACTGATTTTAATAGCCGGTGCCTGTTACATCAGCTCGGGTCTAACGACGAAAGTGTGCGTGAAAACAGCTGTTTGTGTGTCAAGTTTTGCAACACTGTTCGTTTGGAGTTGCCAGATGCAATATTTCGTTCAGCAATTAGACTGCCGTTAGGTAATGTGCAGCGTTAATAACTGTTTAAAAATGAGCATTAAAATACACACACGCTCAAACATACATAACTATGTATATTTGTTTGCATGCATGTGTGTTTCGGAGAGCGCTGCTTAATCAATGTTTATTTCTTAGTTTTGGGTTTTTCAATTTTTCATTTACTGACGTATTTGGAATTTATGCGGATTTCCTTTTGAGCTACAAGAATTTTATCAGCCAGCAGGTTTATCTAAGCACTCATGTGTATATTTACACATTATTCAACGGTTAAACGATCAGCACCAAAAGATAGCGGGAGAGAGAGAGAGAGCGTCAGATTGTGACGTGCATTGCTGTCAGATTGGGACTCCCTTTAAAGCAGCAGAGCGAAAACAGAAGCCGCGCAGCAGCATTAAAAACAACAACAACAAGAACAACAACCATATCGTTGTCAAACACTAAGCTGGTTTTTAAAATGGCCTGCTCGCAGTGAGCTTGGAGTCACTCTCAGTTGGAACCGCGCGCCAAACGGTTCTCTATCATTCTGCTGTGAGCGCCAAGTTGCGCTTTAAGCTATTCTATTGCTGCTGCGAAAAGGAGTGAAAACATACAAAAATAGGCGTATACATACACACAACAAATTCACAGTGCGCCCAAAGAAAATTTAAGATAAAAATGTACACAAACCTAATGAAAAGTTTTAATATGTGGCTGCCATTGCTGCTGCTGTTGTTGATTGGCGCAACGACGCATGCCAATGGCAACAATATACCCGCATTGACGACGCCGACGGGTGTATTCGAGACGCGGACCGATAAGGTGCCAGCCAGCGCGACGGCACCAACAATGCCGCAGGCTGCATCCTATGATGACCTCGACACATTTGTGCCGTTTCGCAGTGATTCGCATGACAATTTCTCGTGGCAGCTGTTGAAGACGGTGCTGCTTAACGATACGGAGCAACAGAATAATGTCATAATATCGCCGTTTTCCGTTAAATTGGTGTTAGCGCTGCTCTCGGAGGCCGCTGGCACCAATACACAGACACAGCAAGAGCTGATAAGCACACAGACAGACATCAGATCGGCGAACAATGTGCGTGAGTTCTATCGCAAGACGCTCAACTCGTTCAAGAAGGAGAACCAGCTGTACAACACACTGAATGTGCGCACCAAGCTCTTCACCGACAGCTTCATCGAGACGCAGCAAAAGTTTACGGCCACACTGAAGCATTTCTATGACAGCGAAATCGAGGCTCTGGACTTTGGCAATGCGCCAGCGGCGGCCCATGTCATCAACGAATGGGCAAATAATGTGACAAATGGACGATTGCGCAATCTGGTCACACCAGAGACAATCCAGCACAGTGTCATGCTGTTGACCAACTTGATCTACTTTAAGGGCTTGTGGCGCCGCCAATTCTACAATACATACGAGGGCGCCTTTTTCCGCACCAAAGATGCCCAGACGCGTGTTCAGTATATGGAGCAAACCGACTATTTCTACTACCACAACTCGGACAAGATGAAGGCACAGATACTGCGTCTGCCGTACAAGGGCAAGAACTCAATGTTTGTGCTCCTGCCACATGCCATGGACGGAATTTATGACCTGCTGCAGGCGCTGGAGAATCACGAAGTCAAGAGCGCCCAATGGGCTATGGAAGAGCTGAAGGTCAAGGTGACGCTGCCCAAATTCCATTTCGACTACAAGCGCAGCTTCAAGGATACGCTCCAGCAGCTGGGCGTACGTGAGATATTCGAGGACAGCGCCTCGCTGCCGGGTCTAACGCGCGGCGCCGACGTTGCCGGCAAGGTGAAGGTATCGAATATATTGCAAAAGGCCGGCATCGATGTCAACGAGCAGGGCACCGAGGCATATGCCGCCACCGTCGTCGAGATCGAGAACAAGTTTGGCGGCTCCCAGACCATCGTCGAGTTCAATGTGAACCGCCCGTTTGTCTTCTTCATCGAGGAGGAGGCCACCGGCAACATTCTGTTCGCCGGCAAGGTGCATCAGCCCTGCTAAGACGCTTGACAATAGATATGATTATTTGATTCTAGACTAACACAGTTAATAAACAAAAACTATGATATACGACGATCATTTTGTAATTGTTATTGTTATCTGAAGATGGAACCCTGCGCAGCATCCGTCATATATTTTTTTATAAAGACTATCCCGCTAACCCAGTATTATACCCTATAGCATGGGATATTATAATTTTGTCACAAAGAATGTGTGAAGAGAGAGTTACTTGAAATGCCGTAATTAACCTAATACTATATTGTAGTATTATCAGGAAAAGATATAACATAATTAAACAAAGCTCAGATAAAAAGTTCAATGAACATTTCGAAACATAATTAAACAAAGCTCAGATAAAAAGTTCTATGAACATTTCGAATAAATTCTATTATTGCTTAACGCAGATATTACGGCATAAATATATAATATAATTGGAAAATCCGCGGTCCTCTCCTAAATACACACAAAAATCCCTTCCGATTTGTCACATAACCTTCCAATTTCTGTTTGCCGATAATTTTTGTACTAAAATAAATGTACGAAGAACTATTTATAAATCTCCCAACGAAACAATTATAAAATAATTGCTAGATGTGTAAGGGTATTCGTTATTTAAAGCAACCCGAAGCTCAGCTCGTTTTTGATTAATTATAAGCTGATAATGCTGATAGGTCGTAGTCGTATTTTTGTCTTAGGAGTAGTACAAATAGCCTTGTATCACTTAGTCACGCCCCGCAGTTGATTGCAATGCAAGCAACTATAACTGATGAAGAGGTATGTGTTGTAGGGCATATGGGATTGGGAATTCCACACCCAACCGAGCCGGTACAATTGAGATTTATAAGATATGTACGAGCACAAATACATATATGCAAATAGGTACAAACACATGAAAACCCACTTAGGCGCTACACATGACTCACATGTCTCACGAGAGCGGCATCTAATTGACACCAGGCAAAACAATTAGCCGAGTCACTGCACGATCCCCAAGTAAAAATACCTAATTGTACAAAATTTCAGATCAATACCAATAATGTGTTCGTCTTAATGTGAAAAGCAAATAGCATTTTCAATTTTTTTTGTTTTTTTTTATGGGCTTTTACAAATACCAGAAGGTGTTAAATTTATGGAAGTTATTTAGGTAATTTATCGCTAGTTTAGATATTCATTAATTTGTTTTGTAAAGTCTTATCTATACAAGCTCGGACCTTCATCCTAATGCTAACTTACTCTATAAAAAAACTACTTTACCAAATGAAGCTGAGCCTTGATCTTCAATCCGTTAGTCGGTCAGGACAAACAATTTTAATTAATAAATAAATATTGATGGAGGATTTGAGCCGGCAATCTCCGTCTTGTTAGCTAGTGTTCATTTTCGACCTTCGACCAGTAAAAAATTTAGCTTTCTAGCTCTTAAGGTTTCGCCTGTGCGTGGATCATCAATCAGTTCAGTCAGTCAGTCAAGCAGTTAATTGTATATAAATACTAGTCTATAATTAATTTTTTTCCAATCTTAGTCACGCTAGAAACTTAAGATCGAAGATGAAACTTTTGTGCGGTAAAACAAGTTGCTTCAACACCCAATCTACACAGAGACGTGAATAAATATTTTTTCAATGTATTAACATTCTTATCATCGCATTCTATTTTACGACGAGAGATCGTGAAATCTACTCAAACATTTGAATTATTTATGTATGTGTGAGTTTTACATATACAGACGCACATATTTATAGATGAATTCATGTGCTTAGGGTTTAGAAAAGTAAGAGTTAAATATTTAAACAGGTTCTATGCATAACAAAATGATATGGTATATGATATGATATGGAGTCAACCCTTTAAATTTTAATGAATAATTCGTTTTCGTTTGCCCGTTGTACTGAAAATATTGCTAACTGTGCATATTTTCATACTACAATATTCGGGCTACATTTTATATTTATCCAAAATTAACATCAGCCTAATATGGACCAAAGTTATTTATATTTTGGGGTTTTATCTCCCCCATTTATTTTGAACAAAACTATGTTCTCTTGTTTGTTTGGCTTTTTCGAAGAGCTTGGCTTTGTTCATAGAACATTATTAATAGGAATTCCGGGTTGTAATACTCTCTAAAATGGATTATTTCTATTCCAACAGGAAAATCGCTCTGTGACGGATTTATTTTATCATTTGGTTAAACGTTGGTTAAACTTCTCATCTTTAAAAACAAGTTTAAATAGGAAGTTGATAAACGAGAATTTGTTGTCTTTTTGTTTTAATCAAAGTCAAATATGCTCAAATTTGTCGCGCCTCAACCCGGTTTCTTTTGTTTCATATCAAATATAAATCAAATTATTAGCTTCATAATCAGAGTTTAATAATAAATGTTTATGAAACGAAATGAGTAGCAAAAGCAGACGAGATTGGATTGTTTTTTTAACATTTACACACCAATTAATCAATCTTTAGCCATTAATGAAATTGTTTAAGAATACCTCTCAGTCTCATTAACAAATAAGGTGATAAGGTTTAAGATTTGTCAACTTATATCTTGAACATTATCAGCCGTCTTTATTTTTTACTTGAGTCACAACAAATACGGGACTTAAAAGCATTGCAAATATTAATAAACCGCATGCATTTACTTTGTGTCAACTGATTCATGGTTCAAAAGCATATACAAAAATATATTTACAGAAATACTTATGCATATGTAAAGGCCGAATTCGTGCTTTCACTTGTATATTTAAGACTTTATGGCCTGGACGTGCTGTCGTTGACAAAAAATCACCTAAAGTTGCTTAAAAAACAACCGTCATAAAAGAAGTTTTCATGGGTTTTCATATTCACAGGAACTATATTTAAATGAACGTTATTTTTCCAATTATTTGTTGCAAAAACATCAAGAATGCGAAATACCAAATACTTTCTTTATATATGACCGAATAAATTATTTTTAAGGCAAAGTAGGATCCCAATTTTCCATGCCGTCAACTGGATTTTCCAATTACATTCAAACACGTCTCCAAAAATCTTTCGAAAACACAAATTTTACCTATCTTTTGATTTATGTAATTTAATCATTTTAGAGAACATTTCGAAGAGAAGAGGAATTTCTCGGAATTTCAGAAAAAGTATAAGAAAAGAATTTAAAAAATTCGTTCTTTTATAATTATTTTTGCATCTATCTTGAAAAATGTCGCTGGGAAAAACCCAAAGTCCGACGTCTAAACACAGGCACTCGAGTCAAGAATATAACTAAAATTGAAACCTGATCATATATACAAATACATGTATAATATTTAGCCACTGCGGTTAAGCCCGGTGGCTCACGTTTTGCGTAGAATAAGTTATGTCTGAGTTAGATGGGCAAGAAATATGTAGACAGACGGGCATAAAAAATGATTTATAGATGAATTTTGTACTCACCTCCGCCGCTGCCGCTGGATAGCATTGCCATCGGCTGCTGTGATTGAATTTGAGTTTTGTTAAAATTATTTGTGTTTACGTTAATGTTGTTGTTGATATTATTGTTATTGTTGCTATTATTGTTGTGGTTCTGATTGTTTGCTTGATGGCGCATTTGCTGTGCTGCGTATTGTAGTTGTTGTTGCTGTTGTTGTGGTGTCTGGTGCTGTTGTGTCTGTGCATATGATTGATACTGTCCCGCAGGCTGGGCCAATTCACCAATTTGGAAATTTGCGCTTTCTGCGAAACGCAGATTTGCGTCGGTATGTCGTGAATTGGCGGCAGCAACTGGCTGCTGCTGCTGTTGCTGTTGGGATTGCATCATGATCCCGTTAGCTGCCGAATGGTTTTTACCAGCGATAAGCGAGTTCAGCAATGCATTTGAAGATGTCTCCAGGCGTCCAGTGCGCGCTCCATGCATGGCCGGCAATAGGCCGCGCGCTTGCTGCTGCTGTTGCTGTTGCATGGGCTGCTGTTTGACCGCTGCGGCGGCATTCATGTTGAGCAGTTTTGAGGTTTGCTCCTCCATCTTGCGCTTCATGACCGCATTGCGCATTATGGTGTTGGCATGCGCCTGCAGATCTTCCTGTGATAGTTGCTGCGGCAGCGCTTGTTGTTGTTGCTGATGTTGCTGCTGTTGATGTTGCTGCTGCTGTTGTAGCTGCTGCTGCTGCTGCCGCGCGGCGAGCGTCTGCTGGACAATAGCCAAGTTGTGTAGATTCTGCAACTGACTGGCAATCACTGTACTCGATAGCATCTCCAGCTGCTGTTGGTGCTGTTGTTGCTGCTGCTGCGTATTGGTAAACTGCAGCACAGCCGTTATAGCCTCGCGATCCATGTTGGTTAAACGCGGATTGGCCAACTGCACCAGCAGGCCATGCTTTGAAATTTCACCTGTAACAACATAAGATTATTATACGATTTTTCAGTTAAGACCTTGTCTGTTTATACCTTTAGTCAGGCGGAGTAGCAGCAGTTGCGTATCGGCGCGTCCCAATATGGCCTTCAGCTGAAGGCTGGCCAGGAAAGCGGTCTGCTGCTGCTGCTGTTGGATGAGCACGTGTTGCTTTTGCTGTTGCTGCTGATATTGCTGCTGTTGTATGATAAAATTGGAGATAGCATCGTTGCCGACTTGCGGCTGCTGTGCCGGCAGCTGGGGCGGCACTATTTGAGGTTTGGCACCATTTAGAGCACCAATTAATTTTTGGAAACTGTCTGCTTGTTTATTGTTTATGTTATTGTTGTTAGGATGGGCTGCTGTTCCTGCTCCTGCTGCTGTTGCTGCTGGTACATCGTTCATATTACCAAGCGAATTGCGACGCCATTTGGCTTCAAGCTGATCAACGGATGGCATTTGATTAACATAACCTAGGCTCTTGGGCTGCTCCAAGTTCTGGTTGCAGATATTATTGTTGTTGTTATTATTGTTGTTGTTGTTGTTGCTGTTGTTGCTGCTGCCAGTATTGGTTTGGCACATGGCCTGCTTAAAGAACTCATTCAGTGATGAGGATGAGCCATTCTTCTCCTGACGTTCGCGTGCAAAAAAGGACATGAACTTTGAATTGTTGTTATTGTTGTTGTTGTTTGTATTTGACGCATGCTGCTGCTGCTGCTGC